TCGGCAGTAGCAAGGCGGCTCTTTGGATCTCAACAGGAGTCCACCGGTTCGTGTTTCCGAGAGCACCAAGGAAGAAATATATCGACTAATCGCAGATTGAGCAGGATCTATATCAGCTACATCGGATGACACACTAGGTGGGTGCGCAGGTACGTGTTCTCAATGGGCTGTATGTCGTAGCACGGGGCTTGGTCTAACTAATAGCAGAGCCATCGGTCACCGTGTCAACAGATGCCGAGGAGGATGGAGCGTCAGCGCAAGTTCGGAATAGCCTAAAGCGAGCCGCTAGCTCCGTTAGAGACGGGCCGGCCAGGAAAAGAGTGAGCTCGTGGAAGGTGCAGGATGCCCGAGAAGCTGGAGGTCGAGAATAATGTAAAATAGAAAAACAAACGATTAGCTTTTCAGTGTAATTTCAAGTGTATTCATGGCCCGCTTTGTATCCCATTAGAAATCGAGTGAGCAAAACATGAAACTTAGGTTAGGTAATAAAAAATGAGGATGTTGAGCTATGCAGATTCAAGATTTCGGCTCCACGACAAGATTTTGGCCCAAGTCTCAAGTCTTTTGAGAGAAAATGTGGCTAAGCTGTGGTGGCGTCTGAGATGTGGCGTCCGAAGTGGCGCAGTCTTTGTGGCGCAGGTGGCGGTGTTCCAGGTGTTGCTTTTCGAGGGGGCGGACGGAAGAGCCTTTCGTTCCTCACAAGGCACAACAAGCTGTTCGGATGTGGCTCAACAAGGTGGCGCACGAGGTGGCGCAGATCGTGTGGCGAAGGTGGCGTTCCAGGTGTTGCTTTCGAGGGGGCGGAAGGAAGAGCCTTTCGTTCCTCAAGGCAAAGGCACAGGAGACCGGTCCCTAAAGAGGGACCGCCAACGCCTTTTCGGAACGAGCTCAGAGCTTGGTAAGCAAGGCGCTTGCCTCGTGGAAGCACGTGAAAGAATAAGCCTGATAAAAGTACTTCTCATATGAAGCCTGAGTCCTGTGTAGGCATCGCAAGCGGTCTTGGGGTGATGCACAGTCTTAGCTAGCCTTCCACGTGTCTAAAGGGAAAGGAAGAAAGAAGAGGGTGTGGCTGTAGGCACCTAGGGAGCACTGGCTTTATAGGCGGTTGGGAGCCTTTTGCCAGGTGACTATGGGGGTTAGTGATGTCAGCATGTGACTTGTTTTTCCCTTTTGCAGTTTAAGACATTCCATACAGGCGCTAGCCTACTGCTTCGACTCTGCATTCGACAGTATTGTAGTTCATCGCAGTTTCTTATCTTATTTCTTTATTTTTGGCATCTAATTTATGCAATCTAAATCTTCCTCACAAGAGCATATATACATACTGGTATATTACATGGGACAGCGCACAATGTACTGGCAAAGCAAGAGAGCCGATTGCATATATTCAAGGAGAAAGAAAAAGAGACAAGGTAATGGGCTGGCACTAAGGCAACTGCGTGTCTTGGGGTGACTCAACAACTTTGGTAAGGCGAGCTTAAACAAGAACTATCAGAAGACTAGTATCGCCACAAGGGAAATCTGGCAGCTCACTTTTGGGCGAGCATACTCGTGCATAGATGCAGCGAGAAGCTTTATGCCGCCATCTAGTCTCTCAAGAACCACACCACGCAGAATCCATCATTTAGTCCACAAAGATAAACTGCCCCGCGACTGCACCAATGATAACTAATAAAAGTGCAGTGTACTTGTTGGTAAACTTGTAAAGAACCACCAGGGCAAGCATGTACAGAACTGCTGCCGGGCCGACCTGAGCGGTTGTATCAATCATCTCACCAACAGGCTTATCCTTGACCTTTTCCAGAGCGCCCTCGATACTGACCTTGAGAATCTGCGCCGCGATGATAGCGATAACACCAATTACCGAGCCGCATAGGCCGTCAAAGGCATGGTAACAAGGGAGCTGAGTCGGAGTTCTACTGACCTTATTTCGAACAAGCTTTTCCAACAAGTTATGCCCTGCAATAGTGAAAAGGAAACAAGGGGAAAACATCCCAAGAGTAATAATAATAGCTCCAGCAAACGCGTTTCCAATCGACCCGTTTAAGTATGCACCCTGGAAGCCTACAAATGTTGTAAAAATAACCAGGGGTGCCGGCAAGATATTGCCAATGGCAATGGCATCGATGAATACGCTCTGAGGGAGCCACGCACCTATCAAGACGGCCTCGACCTGCACAAACGGGATGGCAGTATACGCGCCACCAAACGAGAGCGTGCCGGCCACTAGGCCTAGCACGAATAGGTTGATCAGCGAGGGTGTCTGAGCGATACCGAGAGCTAGTGACATGGGTGCTTGTTCGAAGAGAAAGGAGGAAAGAAGTGGGCTTAGGCACCTGGCCTTTGAGACTTTTGGCAGGTAACTACAGGGGCCGGTGGCGTCTGCGTGTGACCAATTCATGGCCTTTTACGGTTGGAGGCGCTGCGCACGAGCACCGCTTGCTGCTCAGACCCAGCATTCGACAGTATTGTGAAAAGGTACGAAGAAGTGGCTCAAGGAAGAGAAAGGAAGAGGTGGAAAGAAGAGCCATTCGTCTCTTCGTTTCTCCAGCGCATAGCAGTTTGCACTATGGTAATGATAGCATAATTTCTCGGTAGAACCAAGCCTGATGTACAATTGTTGCTACCCTGCATAACTATAAATTCTCATTACTGTCCCAAATTGGAAGACGTAGTTACAGTACGTTAGAGTAATAAGCTTAGTTTCAAATGATACTCGTGTGCGGATGATCATTCATTACTGTTTGTTGAAGTTGAGATTACTGAATCGTCAGACTCCATGCCGTCATAGTAAGTCTCGTCTGCCCATGGGAAAATATATCTTTTAGCCGAGGTTTGGGCCGGCAGCCAAATTGCATTCACGGAATTTGCCGAATGCTGAAGATGTGGAACCCCATCCGAGGTCTCTGATTTCTGAGAAACCATAAACGACAAAAAGTTGTGCGCTGCCCAGGGTCGGGGAATATCGTTAAAGGCAACATCGGTTGAAGTAAATACCATGCATGGCTCATCCACATCAAAGACGCCTTTCAACTCATTCTCCCCATGTATAGCACCGCACCATATATACCCTTGCGAAAGAATATTCTCTAACATGACAAACATCCAAGGGGCCTCGTTAAAAGATTCGTGTGGGAAGTCGTAACATAGTTCGTAGGGTAGACTGTCAGTCGACTTCATTCCCAAACTTTCGGCAAGTCTCTCCGCAACGCTGGGGAAATTCAGATGCCGGAGCTCATCAACCATATCAACAATGATCGTTCTGAAAGCCCCCCTGGATCTTTCGCTTCGACTGAATGAACCTCGCTCGGAATGCTGGCCGTGTCTCGCCCGCAATCCTGGCAGGTAAACTTTCCGTCGAACATCCCAGAGCCACCCAGAAGTTTCTAACCCCGAACGCCTTAGAGTAACTTCAGAAAAGCGTGGCTCATTGCGCCGAGCGTTACCATATACTCCGGCAATGTGCATTGGTGATTCGAGGAATTGTTGGATCTGCATCGACCGCCACCGGGAGGTTGGCTTTCGAGAGGCCTCAAACACGTCCGAGCAACCTTCAGGGTGAATAGATCCGTTGAGCAAGGCAAGTCCAAATGCACAAACACTATAGGAAAAGCCCTTCGAGCTTAAAGTAGGAGCATCCAGCCGCTTCGCATATCCACACAAGTTTGCTGTAATGGCTAGCCGATCTTCAACAACTAGATTTTTGCGCTGTCGCAAACAACGGGCTACTTCGTAATCGCACGGACGAGAGCACCTCCGCTGTTGTTCCCAAGCCTGCACACAAAGCTCCGCCATGGTAGACCACCCAGGAACCTCATATCGCTGGCCTAAAACCTGTTCTGCGCGATTCCTCAACCATGATGAGGCTTTCCAGAGTGCCGAGAGCCGGAAGGAAACATCGCTAGATAGTCCATTACCAGAGTTACCTCGAATCAACACTTTCATCGTATTTCTTGAGCAGGTTGCTTCTTGATAAGTCCAACATCGATAGAACCATCTATCGCCTGCTATGTCGCAGAGTACTTTCGTTAACTCGCTGACGACATTCGGATCTAAGAAATCATCCCCGGGGGGGTTTTCAGACATACAGGCCGTTTCAAAATGCCCCAGGAGTCGCTCAAATGATTTGAAGGTTGCTTGGTTGGCAATTTCCGCGCTTAGTAGTCCAATGGGACTTTCACTAAGGCCGTAAACCTCGTCCATGCACTGAACACCTTGCTTCAAGTCCTGGGGGTCCTCCTGGTCGATGCATTCTTGGTCAATCCATATCAATGGAATTTCATGCCTTAAAGCGTAAAGTATAGCTCTATCAAGAATATTTGCAGGTGCTCGGCTAGGACGAATGCTGTTATTCGTCTGAACGTAATAACAGGGGCCATAGCGATTTATGTCTTTATCGGAGCAACTCCAGCAGTATGATACAGCGACATAGGCTGTTTCATCGGGAAACTTCGTCTTGTCGGCAAGGCTGAGAGTGATACTGTGCTTGGAGGAGATTTCGGCACCGTTAATGCTGGGAAGTTCAAGAAACCGGAGGCGGCGGGCCCAGTGATTCAACTCAGGTCTAGCTATGACATGGCTCTGGACTTCAAGCATGCTTCCGATGAAAGCATCTTGAGTGGGCAAGAGTGAGCCCAACGCGCGACTGTGGTCAAGTAGCATGGTATAGGTATATTAGAGAAGCGTAATAGTAACACTGATAGGATAAGAAGACAATAGAAAAGTAGAAATTGTGCCGCTCAAAGGCCTATGGTGGATGATTACTTGAGGATAATCGCGTGACATGGATAGGGCAGTATAGCACTTTCGAGATCCACGTAGAGTGTGGAATAGAAAAGGCCCTTTGAGTCGGGAGGCCAAGAATTATGGCTCACGGCTCGGGATGGCTCCTCAAGTTGTTGGGAGCTCGAACGAGTCTAGTGGCCCTTCGCTCGTGGCCTGTGGCGGAGCTAGTGGCGCATCGATCACGGCGAAGCCAGGTGGTGCAAGAGTTAGGGTGCAGCCGGATTGCACGAACCGCTCCGTGGCTCGAGTTTGAGGAAGAAGGCACGGGAGAAACGGGCACGAGACGCTCCCAGTGAACAAATTTGCAGAGCCCGCTGGCCTAGTTTAGCATAGCACGTATCCTAGTGGGCTGCCAACTCTTGTGGCACAAAGCTGTGCTGTGGCGCAAACTATGGCGCAGACGGTGGCGCAGACGGTGGCGCAAATTGTGTGGCGGATGTGCTGTGCAGGCTGAGAGGCGGGATTCTGTGGCGCGAATGGTGGCGCGGCGATTTGTGGTGCAGCTCGCACGGACCGTTTGGTGGCCCGAGCTTACGAAGGAGGGCGCGGAAGAAAGATCCTTTCTCCTCTTCGTTCCGAAAGGCATACTGCACCTTTGCGTACGCCAAGTTGCGTTCGAGGTCCACCGCGTACACAGAGTTGTGCACTAAACTTACAGCGGACGCAAAGTCGCGTATGAGAAATGCCGCGTAGGCAGAGCCGCGTACTAGTATTGTAGTCGACCGAAATCAGTTTGCAGCGTGCACTAACAAAAGTTGTTGGAAACTTATGATCTAAAATTGTTTCCAAGTGTTCAATTTGCTAACATTGAATCCGTGATTGGCTTGCGCGCTTCCAGTGTTCCGTCCACCCTTAGATGCCTTAGCCTGCAGGTCCAGTGTAGCACCGCCTTGGGTAAAGCTACATGGCATCACCAGTGGCGATACATGACGCATGGGCCATTAAGCAGGTCCCCCCCCCCAAACAGCCACCTTAAGAGCCAGGGCTGGTTAGGTTAAGAAGGTACGAGAGGCTATGGTATTTATAGATGGTTGGTTCAAATATGCTTTGTATTAAAAAGAGCTAGCTACGGAACAATTCAATCGCCTACTTGTATGACAACCATGCGTGCTGCGTCGGCGAAGGGCAAGCAAGTGGGGGGAGATCGAGGAGAGCATTAACAAACAATTCTTAATACAGTGAAAGGCTAATAATGCTTACGATAACAAACTGGCTCGCAAAGACTGCATCTCGGCTGCGAAGATATCCCTCCCATGCTTCCCAGCCGTCAACCTCCTCTTTCTCTTTCTGTTTTGCCTATTCAGGCTGATAGGCCCAAGCGGTTGTCGATTATGTGTCTCCGCCAGCATAAGGTCCGCAATCATACATGTGCCAGTGTCTTTGTCGTATAGTACATTGCGCGGCTCTGCATCGCGATGGAGAACTTTGTGCTGATGCAGTCGACCGAGCGCAGCGAGAATCTTGTTGGCTGTATTCATGCTGACTTCCTGCAGTTCTTTTAGGATGGGCTTTCCTCCATAACTGAGAAACATAAAATGCCTATACACGCCGCTGTCGTAGTAGTAGGGCTTGATGAGATCTATGTTACCGAGGCAGACCGGCACAGCCTTGCCCTGGAGTTCCTGAACATGGTTGTAAATCTCGTTTTCATGACGCAAATGGTGTGCATCTAATGCCTCCACCCCTTTCGCAACGAGCGTATAACCATGTGACGACAGGCGGACCTTGAAGAGCGATCCTCGTGAACCTCATAAGTAGAGAGGTGCGCTGTCAGCGCCCTTCCCGCGATCAATTGCTAGCTGATCTCGAGTGAGGCGAAGAAATTTGTTTCGGTCGATGTGCGTGCTACTATGGTATATATTATTCGGACATTCCGTATCCAATGGACCGCCAAATGCAAGCCCGAGGAGACATTTGTGCTTACAGTAAGGTCGGTCCTGGATATTACCCCGGTGTGAATCTGGACTTCCTTTTTGCTCTTGGTTCTTGTTTGGCTCAAAATCTGGTGGTGTGGCCAAGACACCTCCTCGACCAGATGCTGGATCTGGCGTTGGGCATGGGCTCTCGTCGCCATCGCCATCCTCATCGCTTCTGTCATCGTTTGGCCGCCGGGTCAGATCCTGGGCGGCAAGCATCGGGAGCGTGTCTGGATTGGGGAGCGCACAAAGCCTTTCCAGCGTTGCGGCTTGTAAGGCGTTTCGCGCTTCGGTTTCCGATCCGTGGCCGGAATGCTCCGCAATGCGTCCTCATACTCCACCGACCATACATCAAGATGTTCGGCAGCGTCATGCCAGGCTTGACTGGGCGGTGGCGACCTAATAGCCTGAAGTGCAAAGGCAAAGGCTTGCGCAACAGCGGTACGATGAAGTCGATTCTCGTCGTCGTCCTCAACGTCTAGACTTGGCACGCAAACATAATAGTAAACACAGGAAGGGTCGTCCGGAATATGGAGAAAGACATAAGCCTCTCCAGTGCATACATAAGCGTACTGAATGCCTTTTCCTATCATATAAGAGAAGAGTTGAGTCACTACGGCCGTAGTGAGTCGCCTTGCAGCGAATGTAAATCCTTCCCCCTCCCGATTAATGACATCACGATCCGGATGGATCTTCGAGACCAGTCCTGTGACGATGTCACTGCGTCTCAGCTTGTGTGGAGCCTTATACTCGATCGCGACAGCAGGAATACGTCGATCATCTGAGGTCTGGTAGATACAGAACTGATCCGCTCGATTGCCCTTACCTCGCGCCTTTCTACGCTGAGTAGTTCGGTCGCGTGGTATTGAGCCAATGGACACTTGTTCCATAGATTCGGAGAGAGAATCATCTGTCAGACCGAGATTCGTATGGCTTTCAAACGACACCGTTCCATCAAGACCCAGATGGTTCCTCAATGGCAAGTCGTTGTTTACAGCGTCTACTATTCTCAGTCTGATCCGCCTGTAACTGGGGCTAACCAATCCATGTTTAGCAGATCGGGTGGTAGACCGCTCAGAGATAAGGGATCAGCTATATTTCGGGATTCATCCAGGACCTCAGCCATTCGCCTGGCCTTCCACATCAAAGTTACCTCGGGACGGCATAGCTGAAAATACGCCGTGCCAGACCCGCCCTCATCCTACGAAAAACTGGGTGCGGCATACATCGTTCGGGATTGGAGCCCGAGTGCTTTACATCCGACGATGGGGCAGAGACGCGGAAAGCAGGGACGTTGGGGGCACAAACTACTGGAAGAAGGCAGGATGTCGTGGGGAGGAGTGAGAAAACATTCTTCTTTCTTAGCGCAATCCCATCTTTCCTTACTTGGAAGTGAACTTCTGTGTCGGAAGAGGGGAATTAGGGCTGAGACGCTGCTAGCTCTAAAGATGGAGCTGACATCCCCTGGCAGCTTTTCAGCTTTTCAGCTTTCCGGGCCTAGCTTAGCTTGGTGGTCCTCTGCGTGGAGGCGGTGTGCGAGACAACAGGTGATCTGAGACATCGAATGGTTGGGGCAACTTTTTCTGTTGTTTTCTCTTCCACCGGTACACACCTTTCCCCCTCCTCTCCCACTGATCTTTCTATGGTTGTTTTACTATCTACTAGCTGCACGCACTTGCATCGTGCTGCGCGTTGAGCCCACAACGCCTGGCTGAGGGGGGGCCTCAACCATTGATTGCTCGGACCCTCTGGCGACATGCCCCCCTGGCGAATATCAATCTGGGACTAGGGTTACGGCAGTGATTAGTCACTGAAAGCTCGATCCACCGAGCGCAGCTTACGACCAGATGGTGTGTAGCAGCCTCAATGCAAATGAATCCCAGGCCGCTACAGGCTGCCGAAATCTGACCGGAGGCCCTGGACACGGGGTAGTGGGCAGGCAAGCATCCATGGGAGGCAATGGGCATAGGAGAACGGGCAGGCAAGTATTCACCGCGTTGGGCCCGACCGGCATTTCTGAAAGAAGAAGAAGAAGGCGGGGCACAGCCAATTGTGACATGATCTGACAATCTTCCTAGATGTGCTCAGTTTCAATCCCAAGCCAATCACAATATCCAAGGTCATCCCAAGCCAATCAAAATATCCAAAGGCCATCCCAGGCCAATCCCAAAAGAAAAAAAGACACATCAGGTCTAATCCAATCAAAAGAAGTAAAAGTCAAGTCAAGTCAAAGCCAGTACGATCCGGCTTTGACCGAAATTCCCACAACAGCGGTCGCAGAAGAGAAAAAGCGACCAGGATGAGTACGGCATGCTACCGTCAATCAACTCAAGCCTGCAAGGCCCCGAAGGGCAATTGCAGTGCAGTCCTCGAGCAGCTCTATCAGCTCGACCACGAGGAGCTCCAGCTCAATGACGCTGACGCCCCCCGGGGCGTCGACGTCGTTCCGCAGCCATGTGAGGACGGAGATGATGTTGTCGACCTCCTCGGAGATGAAGGGCACCATGTAGAAGAGGCGGGTGTGCTTCTTGTCGTCCGTCAGGGAGTCGTCGCGGATGACCTCCTCGGACTGGTCGATCCACAGGGTCACGACCCGGCTCGGCTCGTGGTCGATGCCCTGGTCGTCTGCGCGCCCGCGGAGGTCCTCGATCTCGGAGGCGGCGGTGCGGGCCAGGTCCACGACCTCATTGGCCTTGGACTTGACCTGGTAGTGGCTCGTGCCGTAGTATCTCTCCAGGAGCTCGCGGACGATGTCGTTGAAGACGTCGTCAGGAGCGTTGCTTGGAGCGAACATCATGGTGGGCAGTGGGATGTGTTTTCTGTTTGTTGCGTAGGTGGACGAGTTGGGGGGGAGGCAAAATTTGCTTCAATACAGTTCTGGTAAATTGCAGAGGTGGATCAAGAGGCTCAACCGCTCGTGGTGGTGATTCGCAGGGCCGTCGAGACCTTCCCGTAGTCGTGTCCATGGCCCTCCTCGTGGTATTTATCTTTTGCTGGGAAGTGAGTGTCCGTCACTTCTCCCTTTTCCGCGTAGGCCCTATTTTCTCGCCCCCCTTCACGCTGACCCCTCCCCTCCAGCCGCCATTGAGGTTTTCCACGTCAGTGTCTCAAAGCACAGTCCGCAGCTAGTCGTGGATATCGTTTCGCTTTGCCACCGCACCTCTCGGCCACGGAAGGCATGGGTTTCTGTCTTTCCTCAGTTTTGTCATGCGTGCGAGGCCAGCGTAGGGGACAGGGTTCATCGTCCGGCATGGCATGAATGGGTGCTGCTCGAGGGCGGTCTAAGATGGACGTATGCCTCGACCCTAGTCTGGTTTCACACACGGGATGGAGGTACATAGCGGTGGGTTGTTTGTCTGGGCCCCGCGCGTCAATACCCATTGTTTAGGCTCATCGGTTCGATATTGGGCCGGCTGACTGTGATTGTTCTCATGGGGGTGGGTCAGGCTGGTGCCATTCGTGTTGAGATAATATCTCCATACTTTCGAGAATGAGAGAGCAAACGGCCTAGTCGATCCGTTCTCCTTCATCCTGGCCAACTTCCTCTTCCTCATCGCCGTGCTCTTCGTGGTAGAGTACTGGCTAACCAACTTCCGCGCCGACGGCACAGCATTCATGATGTGGGTCACGTGGCTCTTACTCGACCTGCTGGCCGCCGAGTCCCTCGTCGTCCGCGTCTCGAGCATCTCCCCCATATTCTTCGTCGCCCTCGCCGTCACGGCCTTCGCTAACGGGCTTTGGATGGTCGTCGACGGCTTCCTGGTCCCCATAACGATCCTCAACCCGTTCTGGAAGTACGTGTTCCACTACATCGACTACCAGGCGTATGTGTTCCAGGGGATGATGGTCAACGAGTTCTTGGGGGAGGATTACGCTTGCGCTACGGCTGCTGATGGGCAGTACCAGTGCATGTATCCCAGTGACATGAATGCGGAGGGGATGATTCGCGGCACGGACGTGTTGAAGGTGTTTAAAATTGACACGGGGATTGAGAGTACCTGGGTTGGTATCATTATTGACATCATTGCCGGGTACCGATTGCTCGGATATCTTGCCTTGTATTTTCTCAGGAAGTAGTGTAATTAATAATGTCTGATATATATTTTAATAGTAAAATCAGGGAAAGGAGGGCACATGGGCGAGTGCAAGTAAGGCCATAGACAAATTAATGAAGATCAATCTCGGCGCATTTTGGTCATTGTGAGCTGTGTTGAAATCCATTCGTCTCGCGTCACGCTACGAGGACTCTTCCGTTTTGATAGTAATCTTGGCCTGTTCCGTACTTCATGTGTTCACAGCATAGGAATCCTGAGTCTTCAATCTTCCCCAGTGGAGAGTGGTGATCTGACGCATATGGTGATTGAGTAGCATTGCATCATTGATCGTGCGGGGTGGCTAGACGTTAGACATGCTCTCGCGTCACTCTGTAGCAGACCTTTTTCATCTCCAGAAGCGACTTTGTGTTGTTTTTCTACCGGGTGGAAAGCGATAAGATTAAGATTCAAACATAAAAAAATTGATTTCCAGTCAGACGATATGATGACAAGGTAATCGGAGGCAACAACGTCAATCCTTAAGTATTCATATAACGTCGTGATAGCTGGTACATGACCGCCCGAACCCCGCAAGGATCGCTATGCCTTCGTTCCATTATTGTCAAGCCGTTACCAGCGGCCAGTTTTTGGACTAGCTTCTTAAATACGGCCAAGTGCCCAAATAAGGACGGACCTATGCACAACGGTGAAATTCTCTCTTCTTGAGTAGCAAACGGTGATTGCGACGCGCTCAGCTATCAATACTGTGAAGATTGATATCGGCTCTCTTTTCGAGTAGGTGCTTGATGACATTCTTGTGGCCTTTCTCCTCAGCATGCGACAGCGGCGTCTTTCCATGACTATCTTGGAGTCGGCATTGGCGCTATTGTCAATAGAAAGCCGAACCGTGGTGTCGTGCCATTTCCCCGCAGCTAACCGGATTGCGGGAAGGTTTGCGAGGTCGGGCTACGAGATATGAAGCTTGCTAGTAAATCACATACAATGACGATACTCGCGAGCAGCTAGAGATCCGAGGTCGGGTCGCTCGTGCGATAATGCGATCAAGGGAGCTCCGGCTATTTAAGGGATCTCTGACCCGCGATGTAATTACTGGTTAGAAAACAGTGTTCTCAATAGATCCGTTTTACCTGCTATATGCAACCCTGCTGTTGGTCCTAACACCAACAATATGACTTACCTCTAATTAAAGCTACAGATCTAGCGCCCTCACCCAAAGATGAGTGCATACGGCCTGAGGGCTGCAGCACTCCAGCGTAGCTATCTATCACACCACCGTTCTCAGTTCCGCCAGGACGCGTATTTTTCAGGTACTTCCCCAACCAGACATTTGTAAGAGCCAATCGCAGAAATTTGTAGGTATGACTCATTCGCATGTCAGAGCGCTAATGAACAAGATAAGGGCTCCCTCTTGGGGCTTTAACGCATCCCGAGCGACACTGAAGGACCTATACTCTGGCCGCGGTAGATGGATCGAGGCCACGAGTCGGGGGTAGAACGGGGCTCTCAATAACGCACGAAGTATGCCTCAAGTTCTCTAATAGGAAATCCTATTCCACCTGCACTGAACAAGCAAGTAATCCGGGTAGAATCAAATCCATCATTACAGGGCTTTTGCGAACCCCCAGATTAGCCGGCTGAAATATGCATTCCTGCCGATATTAGAGCAATACCAGCAGGCTGGGCAGCTGTGCAAATGTTTTAGCTAGCTGCAGATCCTTATACCTTGGTGGGCTTAGTGAAGTTTTTTTTAAGTTTTTTTTTTTTAGTTTTTTTTTTCAATTCCAAGGATCGTACGACTTTGACATCAATCGCAAGTCAGTGTTACATGGTCTACACAATTTGGGATGTTCTTGCGAATGAAAATAGGCAAGCGACATCTAAACTTATCCACATCAGGAAGTATCACTGCCCTAGCTAAATCAAAGATCCCAGCCTATCCTTCAGCAGTTAGTATCGCTCTTGGTTTAGGTAAGGGCTGTCTGAGACACAAGTGGAATTGACTGAGAAAACAACAGCATATACGAGTTGGGGCAGCGTATGTATATTCGGCAAAAGGCAGAGACTGAGCGCCGGAAGCAGGAAGATGCTAACATTGAATCTTACCCTTTTTTCGAAGCAGGATTAATGAACGGACGTGAAGGAGGTAGCGGTCACGCTACACACTCAAGGTTATCTTCCTGAACAGCCCCCAGAAGCCTGCCTCAGGAGAGCCTCCCGGCATTCTCAACCCAAGCCAGTCTTAAGAACTCGGGCCATGATCGATTCCTTTCCCTCTTAAGCACTCCAATAAATTGACACTTCTCCCTTGCTCAGTGTTAAAACTCGTATCCAGCTTGACCCAATAACCTACAGCAACGCCCTTTCTAAGAGTGCACGGCAAATAGTTTCGTCAGAAGGGCCAGGGGCTCTTCTGACTGGGCAGCGCCCGACCATTGCAGGCTAATGGTTCCAGGGAGCCTTCGAATTTGGCGGTTACGAGTACTTGAAAGCCCGCGCAGTCGACTATCTCGGACGCTCAACTGCTTCCAATAACCGGGATGTCGTATACCTAACCTCGGCGCCTTGGGGATATCGCACTCTGCCCATTCGAGTCTGCTCGAATACGGCTTGTATCTCAGCCTAGCTACGCGACTGGTTGCGTGGGCGCTCTCGCTAAGCTGGCAAGAGAGGAGGGTGTCAGTGGCAAGTACTCTAGCCTAAGCCCTATCCTCCTCAAACAGTGCGTGCGGCCAGGCGGTCAAACCCGTCCTCCACGCTTAATTTCTATATGTGCTCATGTAGACACTGTCACAGGATTCCCACGATGGCGACGTTTTTGGTCTATGAGAGGGCTACCCAGGCGGCATATGGCGTTATAGACCATAGGGGGCTCTCTTCGATGGGAGTTACGGGCATCAACCTTGGTGCTGGGCTCGTCTCTGGTTTGGCCGCCGCTGTCGTTTCTCAACCAGCCGATACCATCCTAAGTAGAATCAATAAGGAAAAGGCAGGCAGAAGCGAAAGTGCAACCCGCCGCTTGATTCGCATCCCGTTCGAGCTTGGGCTACGTGGCGCCTACAGAGGCATGCAAGCACGCGCTATCATGGTTAGCGGCATGACAGCAGCTCAATCTGGCATTTATGGTGACATGAAGAAGAGCTGAAGCAAAGTATGGTCAGCAGAGGTCTTAATAGACGGTCATGGCGGAGCTAGAGATAAATATTCAAACGCACCTTCGGACCAACCGACGGAGTGGAGTTGAGCCAAAGCTACCTTGCTGTCGACTGTTGTTCAGAGGAGCTGCCATAAACGGCCGTTTATCTATAGATAATTGCTCATGATGCTTTTTGGAACCTAATATCTGTCGAAAAGAATTGATTTAGCATCTGGATGAGAAAATGTAAGGCTTCACTCGTGCTTGGGATATAGTTCGAGGATTTCTTCCCATAACTTCAACCCCAAATATGCGAAATGGTACTATCTTCCAACTTGGTGGAAGGACTTGACCTTATTACCCCGAAGCAATCACTAAAATACATGTTCCTCACCATTTAATCCCACATACCCTGCATTGTAGTCAAACACAACAGGCCAACAACCACACAGCAGGTCCACACAACATATTCGATGGCTAGAGCGTGGAATATCACGTGATACGAACTGTTTTTCCTGGTAACGTAATCAATAATCCTGGTTCGAACTGCCAGTCGTCAATTTGGTTTGTTCAACTCGGTTGATGCCTTGAATCACCATAAATCATCAAAAAAATGCGTCACAAATAGCACAACAAAACGTCATTCAGTGAACAGCATAAAAAAGCGCTCATCCTATACGACTTGCTCAACGATGGGATGAGGTGAGTCCGATTATGCTGCAGCGTATCTTGACTTCGTGTTGCATTTCCCCTTCTTTTTCCTGGTGGCTCTAAATCACGTTAGCCTCACGTATATTGGAGCGGGATAGTTTGCCGACATCAACCGTTGCCCCTGAGCCGCTCAAGCACCGGCAGTGCCTCCGCCTGCTGGCTTCGCACAATGCAATCCAATTTCCCCATGCCGTGTCAACAATCTCGATCGGTCGATCGCTGACTAATCCGCAACCTTACCAACGGGCATCCATCCTCGGTTTACAAATCCTTGCACATGTTGTGAGATTCTGTTGTTATGCCTCGTTTTATCCGCCATCCTAACTTTCACTCTGTCTTTAAACAGAATATTGTGCTGTTACCAGGCGTCGCTCAATCGTGTAGTCGCCGGACTGTGCGAAATTCTTGCGGCACCGACAATCGAGCACTCATTAAAATCTTGCTCCACTTCCACACCTGCTTACTTGACAAAATGTCCTCAAAACAAGATGCTACACAGGAAGCCTCATCGCCACAGGCCGAAGTTGTTCTCCACCGATGCAGTCCGCATCCCGGCTGTTTGGCCCGCGATGCGTCACTCAGAGCCCGCACTAGCTCGTCGCCGCCAAACGCGGTCATCGAGTTGTCCTCCCCTCGCCGCAACTCCTCCAGCGACAGTCTTAAAACCGAGCAGAGCGATCCTCGGGATTGGTTTAACCACTCAAATTGGAACCCAACCGCTGCTTTCGATAGCAATATTACAGACAGTATGCACTGCCGTCTCCTGGTTGCGAGGGTATATTGAAAGATACTGATGCGAAGTTATAGTTGATCCACCTTACTTCCTGAAAGAATCTGATTCGCCGAGTTCCAAGAAAACATACTGCTATAATGAATACCAACTCGCCCCTCCGATAACTCCCATTGAGCATAGTAGTAGCGCTAGTGACTACCGCAGCGTGATTGACGACCTGAGGTTTGAGATCCAACAACTTAGGGAGGAACTGAAGCACTATAAGCAAACGGGCCCTGACGTGCTTTACAAGGATAGGCTGTTACAGGTCAGGTTTCATGATCTACCTAAAGAAAAAAGAAGAGAGCTTGAGAGTATTCTAAGAGACTTTGCCGCCGATCTCGATGGATCTCGGAGGAGGATGACACCCCCCTTCCCTAGCCCTGATCACTCCGAGTTCAGAATTAAGCCCAAGCATGCCACTTCCTCTCCAGGATCCAGCCCCTTACCAGCCGACTCCGCCTACGCCTCCATGTCCACTGCTGCCAAGTCCTTGAGCCTTCTCGACATGAGTTCAACCAAATCATCGAAGCGAAAGAGGGAGAAGTGTTTACGAGAGATTCCAGTTTGCCTATACCCTAAGTCTTCTGAGGGGCGTAAAATCCAACGGCGAGGTGGATCCGAAGGTACCAAGTCCAGTAGCGACAACTCTAGCCGCGACTCGCAACAAAGTCCTACTGCCGATAACAACGACAATTCGAACAAACGCAGACGTGGAAAGTCTAGCCGTGAAATGTGTGATGAGTTCCACCCCGGCAGCTCAAGTAAGGATGCACATAAGTTCGATCCGCAGCTATGCGACCCATTCGAGAACTTCCGCTATAAGGCACTGTCCGTGGAGCAGGATTCATCGAGTAGGCACACTTCATTGGACGAGACGAGTCGTTCTTTTGCACCCGTCGAGGGTTGCAATTCAGGCAAGTGTGCAGGGGGCTTGAATGGCTCTGAACAGTTAACTCGTGGAACTCAGTACTATGAGGGAGCTATTATCTATTACAGTGGCGCACCTTTTTGTATCGATTTGTCGCGCGATCCGAGTGATGTATTACCTACCACTCACGCGCTCAGGAGTAGCCGAGGCCAGAACGGTTATCAGCAATTATCAGCCTTCACGCGGTCTCCCCGACGAATAGCATCTGGATCACTGACTGATCGAGGTCAGGTCCTGCGTCAGAAGTGTTCGGCCACTGACATCAATAATGATGAATTTCCTGTCCTGATAAATGATGATAGCGAAGAAATAAGCGACATCGAGCTAGACTTGGTTTGGACCGACAATCAGCAGGGCGTAGAACACTAGGCCTTGGAGCCCTGTGGACTTGGCGGCGTTTATCCCGAGGATCATTTTGTGGTGTCTGTCGCTGCTAAGCGGCCTAAGCAAGATATCCCTCAATCGACTACTAACTCTCGACCTCGAAGGTCGACCGAACACACAGAAGGCGCTATTCATCGACTCGCGATGATGCCAAGTCCTCCCAGCCCTGATGGTTTAAAAAATGAAATGTGCAAAGAACCAATACTTAAAGTTGAGTATCTGTCAGGGCGCATCAAGAAGCTCGCCCCAGCCTCACTGCCACACCCGGCCATTTTCTTTCCGCCGTTTAGCAGCGATAGCTCCACGTCCAGCGTGGGCGATGAGGTATCTACGGGTATGGACATTATCACGTGGTTAAAGAGATACGTGAACTGACACAGACCGATACCAGTCCCATAGGTAACCCGATAGGCGTCGTTCCCCTGCTGAAACCCAGGAAGAGGCCTGCGAAGCGGTGGAGGCTTGGCGAAGCACAGAGCCATCCATTCGCCAAGCCGTCTGGAACTGCCTGAGTGTTGGAATAAAAAGCAATATACACAAGGACTGATAGGGGCGATGACATCGTGGCGCCCGTTCACTGGTCATGCGGCTGATGAACGCTATCTTTGTCGGGTGTCGGTGACATTAGGAGCTAGGGAGCCCCTGTCTCCATGTGATTATACCGCGAGACCTGGCTATTGTAGAACGAGGTTGGGACCAGTCTAGGAAGCCAATAAGTAGAGCATCGTTTGTTACTACCATCGCCTGGCTAATCACCTGAGCACCAGGCAGTGTTCGTGACCAAAGAGCCGTGCAGGGACTCCCCATAGCCGGGAAACTTCTGGGCTGCTTTCCATCAGAGCGGAGATCATTGGTATATGAGAAAGTGGGCTTCTCTTACAAGGGGGCCAAAGATGACCTCGACATACAGCCATGGAGTTTATTGGATGGAAAAGGCTACTGGACGGGGGGTGGAGTGGGTTCGATGACGGCGTTGTAAACTTTATTCCAAATGAGGATATCGTCTAGCTCATCGGCGAGCGCGGATTTTAACAAGGGGTTGGCGCGGCCAAAATCGAACTCATCGGAGGCAACCGCGGATATGAGTTTGAGAGGATCGTTTCGGAGAGAGCCGCGGCCTGTCTTTGATTGCAATAAGAGAATAATGGGTTGATTTCGTAGAAGGGAAAGGAGATCGAGAGCGAGATTTTGGGACATCTGCTACCTAATTAGAGGAGTAGACCATAGCGAAGTATTTGTTTACCTTACCTTCATGGGCAAGGTGAGCAAGCGGATCAGGCGAGTGCAAGATGGCTCTATCTTTACATAGGGAGGTGAAAGAATTGCGAAAAGCGTCGAGATTGCTTCCAATAGGATGGTCCTCAATCAATCTGGACTGACCTTGGTACGCCATGGCAGTGCCACAGGCCTGTTGTGTAGCACAGGATGCACAGAGCTGTGTTGAGGCAGCTTGTCACATATCGACCCAGCCATTTTTCGGGACTACTTCGGAGCAGAGGCGGCTGTCGCCCTCTTTGATTATTCATCTTCGAGGGACACACGTGACTTTTTGATGTTGATCAAATACGAACTCAAGAGTTCGCAAACGCGGAGACGAGGTGCATCCTCGTCCCATTCGGAGCCCTGGTCAGTACTGCAGCCGCTAAGCACGGATCGTTCAGTGGCCCGAGCTTGAGGAAGGAAGGGGCGGAAGAAAGTCTGTAAGCACCTACATGAGCCAAATCTACGTCGGCTAGGTAACCCCACGTATAGATTTCCTAACGTATGAAGTTGTTAAGGCGATAGTTGTATTGAACGTACCACGTGACTAGGGTAAACCCTAGTTAAGAACCTTTCTTTGGAACCTATAGGTAAATTTTTAGACATCGCCGCCTCCGATCTCTCTTAGGATAGAAACGTACTACGTTTATTCCTTTCCTATTAATTCTAACTCTGGTCCGCAGGTTCAATCATTATTTCCCATTCCCGAAATCGTTACCAACTCTTGATCCCTTATATGACATCGCTATGGGGTCTCAATTTCACTTCTTTCCCGACCTGCCTTACGACCTCAGGCATAAGATCTATATTTTAGCGACGCCCAGCAGGATCGTCCGCTTAGAGGAAGGACCGGTCGATATCAAGGAGAAAGGCGCGTGGAAGCAACAAGGATGGAAGTCCTACTTCGAATATGCTTTTCAGAAGTTCAGGGCTCGAATGACGGAAGATACCCATAACTGGAATGTTAGGCTGCATCCAGATTTGGCCCATTTTGCTCATAATTGGCGTTTGCGCATACCGTGGTCATCTCGTCGCTATAAGCAAACAAAGTTGGAGGACTACGGTTTTCACTGTAGTCTGCCCCAGTACGAGCCTTGGGAGCCCACTGACAACGCCCCGTCGATTCCCATAGAGTGGGTTCTCAACTTTCCGCAACTAGCCTTTGAGCTAACGCGCGAAGGATGCATGTACAGTGTTGCTGCGATCCCCCCCTTATTACATGTTTGTGCCGAATCTCGCCAAGCCCTAAATAAGATAGGTTACCGACTTGCCTTTGCAACACGCACGGCAGGTCCCAGAACATGGTTTAACTATAAGCTGGATCTCCTCTATCTTCCTTCCGCGAACAATGCCTTCCCATGGTCACCCTATGAGTCGTACCGCCTAGGTGATGCCTCACTGCCCGTTGCCAGTGACTGTTCTATATCCGGAACACTTCTCTCTGGATGCAGTTGGGATATTGGACAACTCAGTTTGCGAGATTTGCGAGAGGTGAAGTTCCTTGTTCTTGGTCGTGGTTGTGCAAAGCTATGGGATACAGAAGTGATGAACATGGAGATACAAAACATTTTGCCTCTTTTCTCGAATCTTGAAGAGATATTCTTCGAACATTGGAGTGTAAATGATTTTACAGGCTGGTTTAGCCTCTCCGGTGGCTGTTCTATGTTGAAGGCGCATAGCGATTGGACATCTCCAGCCTGTCTTCCTGCTGAGGATATTGATCTTATAGGTTCGATCTACTGGACTCGGCAGCTACCGTTCTACTGGCTCCAGGGCGAACAGAAATACTGGCCCGGGCTACTTTTTCATGTTGACGGAGTGGCTCATACTTTCTTCAACCATATGAAGGATCGTTCTCCTCGCCCGCTCTTTGAGGTACTAGCAACAAATCTAGCAAAGAGCCTGAAGGCGTGGAAAGAAAGTCCTGGGTCGCCGAAGAATTGTGATGTGTTGATTCCCACCTTTCGTCATGTCCACCTAATCTCTAAGGCATTGTCAGCCGAATTTCTCACTAATAGATATCGATTTTGGAGCTTATATCGATCTCTCGACAGCAACTTGATTCGACAGCCAGATCAGCGAATTAATGTTTCTGATGCCTATGATCTTTCGCCTCCTTTTCGTATAAACTGGGATGTCATTCGCAGGTTGGAAACGAGTTTGCCCGGGCTATTCGATACTATAGAAAGATCCCACGCGGAGCTAGAATTAGTAGACAAAGGAAATTGGAGCCTTTTACAAGTTTGGTATCTCGATCGGTTTGTAATCAATGAGCCTTTGGTATCTCGATCGGTTTGTAATCAATGAGCCTAGTGTGGATTATATATAGCTTTTAGAGACTAGGGGTTTCGTTAGATACTCTATATCTTTGCATATTTGTCGTGGTGTCGTTCTATGGCCTACGGGGAGCATGAGAATTCAAAGTTGGAAAGTCGTGAGAATAAAGTGCCTTAATTTCTCTAAGATGCCCTACGAGCAACGTATTTGTACAAGGGAAATGGCACTTGGCGTCCGACTAGTAAAGGTCGTACTCTCAATACATAACGGTTCTTAGCTTGTCTTGCGAGACTGTGATTTTTTCAATGCTGGACTGTAATACTGGCTGGGTACCTAAGATTTGCCTGAAGGAACGAAGTTCCGAAAGGTTCTTCCTTCAGCGCCCTCCTTCCACCTCGACGCCTGGTTCTCATGAATCCCATCTCCATCCTGCTTCCTTACTCTCGTACGAGGATTGCTTCGACAATGTTCCATCCACGATGCCTCACGACGAGCCGGTCAGAGTCCCGCTCGATGAAGTCCGACGAACGTTGGAACGCCTAGACCGTCGGCGCGCTCGCGGGCGCCCCCCACGAAGACGGGGAGGGTCTCGACATACTAAGGCTGCGCCCCGCGAGGAGCCGGTGAGAGTCCCACTTGGCGAGATCCGCCAAAGGCTAGACCAACTGGATCGAGAACACGCTGAAGCACAGAGCCGTCGAAGACTAGAAATGCCGTCTTCTACTGTTGCCAGGGTGCTGGCATCTCGGGAATCCGCCCAGCCTCGGGAAGGCCCTGTTCAACTTCGGCCTGACGAGGTAGAACAGGCATGGGATGAGATTAAACGCCAGCGTGCTACGGCCGGAGTCGGCCACATGCGAGCAACGGCTCGGCGTACTGCCGTTACGGTGCCGGAAGACGAACTCAGGCGTACAATTACTGCTATCACGCAACAACGCGCGGAAGAGCCTTTTCCCCTGAGGGAGAGGTGGCCCAAAGGCGGTGCATACATCTGACCGAAGTGATCTGACTGGATCATTGTCCGAGACCAATACTTTAATCTGATTCTCTCAACATGGCACCGCACAATGACGTCTTGGATAGAGCTTGGTACGGTACGCTGGTTGTAGTTGGTACAGCGGTAGCGGCTGCTATTGACTGTTGGGCTGGCTCGGAATCCGTAGCTTTATTATTCTATTCTTGATTAGTTCAGTTCAGTTCAGTTCAATTTCTACTCGGTTGTAGGGTTGGCTGACAGCCGAAGCTCGCTCCGAATGATAATCCGTAGTCCGCCCCACTTCACCGATGTCAACAACATCGACCAGCTGTCCCCAATGATCCCGCTTTTTCCTCAACCTCAATCTACCCGTGGCGGCCACCTCGTGTAGAATGTGGTTCTCTACTAATACGCAGTGATACTTGTCTCCCTCGAAACGGCTCGTGCCATCTCGTGTGCGGTTCCGCGTACCTACAGTCTCCCCCCAGCGCCCGATATCGTCTGGCTACGTTCCGACCCCAAGATGCCCAAGGTTCTCTGTCTGTTCCATGAATCTGATGGCTTTCGCGGCTGCTTTACGCTCTCCCAACACCTTCCGAAGGTCGCTTGTCCCTAGGATACCGCTAAGTTCCTGGTCCCGGAGTTGTCGGTGTTTCCGGCATCGCAGGGGGATATGTAATACCGTTTGGCGTCCTTGTCCACAAGGGCACTTGTCGTCTGTAACATCCGGCACTCGTTGTTTGAAGAGAAAGTGCTTGATACCTATCTTCTCAGTACGCATTCCGATCAGCAGCGCGCTCTGTCTCTTGTTGAGCTTTGTGTGCAGCTGCAATATCTTCTTTGTCGGCTTCGGCGTGTATCGAAAGCAGACTCTGCCTCGGCTTTCGTTAGTCCACTTGTCTTCCCAGGCTTTGTGGACATGCCTATGCGTCCCATGTCTTGAGCGTTGATCGAAGTGCCCATAGTTCCGGTGGTTTCGCCGCCCTTGGTCCAGTAGCCCCTCCTTCACTCCAGCCTGTAGCTTCCTTTGCTACTCTATCAGCTTTATTGAGTCTCGGTGCATCTTTCTTGGTGCTTTCTTTGTTTTCCCTTTCCTTGTTGCATGCCAAGCGGTGGGGACCGGTCACCTGTGGAGATTTTCAGCGGGTGGAGCTGACACGTGATCACGTGAGTTCGTGACAGTGGGCAGATTTTGAGTCGGGGTGGGGCATAAGACCTGCGTCACTTCGTTCCTCCAGGCATTCGGCATTGGTGGTTGGAAGTTACGGTGGCGGGGTTAGGATTGGTGCATGCTGGTCACATCACGCGGGCATACTAAAACGTTGAAACGTGAGGTGGATGGCTACGTGGGGGATGAAACAACGGTCGCCGTTACCATAGAATTACGAAGGTCTCCTACGACTTCCATTTTTATCCTATATCGTGTGCTCTAAACCATGGCCATTTGCCTAATTCAAGTCAAATTCTGATGCGGAAGGGAGGCGCTCACGTACATCTACAATACTCCCAGGTGTCTCGTCCCAATCGGGCCTCCAGCTGCACAAGATGCTGGGCATGGCAACTTCTTTGAGAAGTACAATTGCCTATTATAAAAGAGCGTGAAGCCGGCTGCCTAGCGACGTCGAATGCGATCTGCAAAATTTGTGGTTGGCATAGAACGACAGTATTTCAGAGTCCCATGTCTTAGCCTCAACAAGGTAAATGATCCTTTCATCTTTATATGTACACATTCTAGGACACGCTCCGAGTAACCGCGGTCTACTCCAAGTCTGCATATTTCCTTGGAGGGTGACGGTTGCGATGGGGTCGAGGTTCACTGTTTGATGTCAAGGACAAGGCTGGAGTGAGAGGGCATTCTTCAAGGTATGTAGTGGTTGAGGGAGAAGTAGGTATAGTCGGGGACTCCGTGAGATCCTCTGTGCGAGCAACGCTCTGTTCGGCCTGGGCCGGCTCAGGCGTAGTTGTATTCCTTTTCAGCGGATTTTCTGCTTGACTGGCAGTCTCCGAGACGCGTGGCCTCTTTGAGGGGGTAGACGGGGTTGCCCTACCCTCCCAACGACTCATCGCTTCGACGATGGAGTGGCGGTCGGGGTCGGCGTGGTCACGGCCAAAGGTGGCCTTGGGAGGTAGGCCAAGTCAAGGACCCGACGGTCGATCTTCGGGGTGACATTGAGAAAATCTCCTAGAGGCGCTGTCTTTGTGCTAATGTTGGTGTTTCCCAAGAAGCAGGTGACTGGGGAACTGAACCGGGGCAGTCTTCGAGGCGTCGTACACTGATGTTTCGAGCGTGAAGTTGTTGGATAGCGTAAGTGCAAGTGACCGCGTGTGTGTATTCTCTACTTGACTCAACCCCGCTCGGGCCTCTTCAGTTTCGTGTACGCTCGTTGTGGGTCTAATCCGATCAGGTGACCGCTAGGTAGCGCTAAGTACAGGATACCTAAGGTGGGCTGCACCTTGCAACAAGAAGTGATGTGGTTCGAATGACTCAGGTAAATTCTCACTGGGCGGGGCCCCCACCATCTATTAGTAACTAATTTATCCCCGCGAAACCCATTAGAAATATGGATCTAGCATAAGTTTGATTACTAATATTGAGAAAGCCTCCAATCGGTTTATTATGGTTTTGTGCATGGCCCCTGACGTTATTCGGGTTTTTCCTATCTTTTCTAATAAATACCAACTGTGTCCTGTCAGTTGCAAATCAACAGCTATGGCGTTCCCATTCATGCAAATGCCATTTGACTTGCGGACGCAAATCCTCTTTCACTGTCTTGTCACCAATTACCCTATCGCAATTGCATCATGTTCCAAAAAGTGCTACGTAGGCGGTCTATTTCTTTCGGAAGAGCCAGCATTTTTTAATATCCTCGTCACAAGTCATCAACTATGGAATGAGGGACTACAGGTATTCCTTACATACAATTGCTTCGTTTTCGGCGATTTCATATCAGCCCATGGGCAATTCAAAGCATCGCCAAGATGGCGGCCAGTGTATGGCTTAATTGATGGACGAATTTGCGAGCATCAGAGATCAATAATATGCGGGTGTAACGATTTCGACATTCACTGCAATCTTGGTCCTTATCAATATCCTGACGCAGGACAGGTTCTCCCCTTGTGGTTAGACCAAAAGTATCTTGGCCGTATCAAGCACATAATCATCATTCTCCATCAAGGAGAACTAGAAACATACCACAACGAACCGCAGGACAATTATAACCTAATCCAAGCGTTTCTATTTCTTGAGAGAGTGAATCAAATGCAAGCCAAGCTAGAGTCACTATTCATCATGACAGAGCATTCCACCCGGGAGGAACCGTCTGATCATAGTACTTCTCCATTCAATCCTCATCTTCGGGAGTTAGGCTCTGGCAGACACCTAATACCTATCCTTCGATCTCTTCTTAAGCGATGTTCAAGAATGCATGTGCATTTCTCAACCTTCAACCACGTGGACAACAACACGATGAACGTGCCATCAGGACCACGACTCAATTCAGAAACAGCTATGAGCGCACGAAGCTACCTTTCGACGATAGAGCTCGGCGGTGATATTGATGGCTGGAAGCTTCCTTCTGGTATATCTTTCTCAAGGCTTATGCCGGATGGTCAGCGATTTGACGTATCAGATGATGGCAGATTTCTCCTTTGCTTTGATACAGTGGAGATTTACGCTGTCCAATTCCTTGAATATGAGGAACTTCGCCGATACATAGTGACTCACCGAGCCAATCTTCTTCGGGCGGATCGGTTGTGCGACCATCAAGGTCTCATCGATCGAAGAGACCCCTGGTTTAAGTACCAAGTCTTTACTCCGATGGATGATCGATCAACCAGATCTTTAATGCACTATCTAGAAGATCAGTTGCGGCAAGACTATGGTGCAAGCCGTGCTATATCTTCCTTGGATCTGAGCTTCCAGCTGCCTTTTGGGATCTTAGAAAGGCTGTGGGTTCCTGAGCGACCTAATGAGGGCTATACTGTATCAGATGGCCGGTCTCTCTCTGAGATGGTCATGGACTGGGGGGGGCAGGAAGCGCCAAATGATGATGCAGACGACGAGAATGAGTGGCTGCATGACCTCTTGATGTTAAAAATCTTTTTTGATGCGAGTTTGGTATATAACCAACAGAGGATTACTGACTATTTTAATTATGTTGATACATGAGGGGTTAGTGTTGCAATTGGATTTTGAGCATAGATAGACATCCTCTGGCGATGTCAGCACATACAGATCACCTTATACCGGTCTGCGTCTGTCAGCCCCTTGTTTTCTTTAGTAGTGCCAATGGGTCATCTGGTTTTTTCGGGGTTCGTGGATGCCTCTATGCCATAACCCCCAGCCTCAGGGTGATAGACGAGCTTGCGCAAGATTTGTTGTTAGTATCTACAAAGCGTTTCTTTTCACCATTTTTGGTCGACGTAATGTTTTGTATCCTTTCACTACCCATTCTTTATGCAGTTTTCTGATCCGGCGCAACACCCAAGCAGGGCCGAAATAGTCCTGCGATGTAGCGATCCACGTAGCGAGGCTAGCAGCCAACCATAATTCCTCCAGACATATGTATGCTTCTTACTCCAACAAGAGTGGCGCCCAAACGAGCATCGACCTTGTAAGGCTCTAAGAGACCAACCCAGCGAATCTCATTCCCCTTTCGGTCCTAACGCCTCACTAAATAGTGAATGGGGAAGGTCGGATGACAAATCTAGAAAATAACCTTCAAGATTTCTTGCTAAGGTTGACCATCAAAGCATGCGCTTGATCACGGCATTGGAAACCTCGCTCTTGGCAGTCACTACATAAAACGAAACCATAACACTCTAGGCAGGAATAAAAGCCAGAGCTGCTCGAGACGTTTAATGTGCAAGCATCACACCAAGCAGCTGTGGTATCAAAAGCCGTGACTGCTTTATCAGCCTGGGAGAAAGTTTCACCCAGCTCCATAGGGTGTGACAACAGCTTGATCATCTGTGGTTTACCGGCGCGAGACGCCCACCACAGTAGGCTGCGCCCAACATGAAGCTGATCCTGAGCATAAACACCAGCAGCGATGAGAAGTTCCACGACTTTATAGTGCCCATTAGCTACGGCAGTCGATAATGCCGTGGAGCCGTAATAGTTCTTGGTATCAGGATCAAAACGTTTTAGTGATAGCAGATATTGCACCACGTCCACTTGTCCACTTCGAGAAGCCAGAAACAAGGCTGTGCGACCAAGGGCATCCGCCTCAGGTTTGCTAAAGTGCGGAGCCCTAAGCAGAAGTTCAACAACATCAACATGTCCCCTATCTGATGCCACATGCAATGGTGTCCAATCATCATTACTTTGAGTCGTGAGGTCAGCACCCTTATCCAGCAGCATCTTGACAACTTCTGCATGTCCATTATTTGATGCCACATGCAGTGGTGTCCAACCATCATTGTTTTGAGTCGTGAGGTCAGCACCCTTCTCCAGCAGCATCTTGACAACTTCTGCATGTCCATTATTTGATGCCACATGCAGTGGTGTCCAGCCATTGCTGTTGTGAGTCGTGAGGTCAGCACCCTTCTCCAGCAGCATCTTGACAATCTCTGCATGTCCATTACTTGATGCTACATTTAGCGGTGTCCAACCATCATTGTTTTGAGTCGTGAGGTCAGCACCCTTCTCCAGCAGCATCTTGACAACTTCTGCATGTCCTTTACTTGATGCCACATTCAGTGGTGTCCAACCATCATTGTTTTGAGTCGTGAGGTCAGCACCCTTCTCCAGCAGCATCTTGACAACTTCTGCATGTCCATTACTTGATGCTACATTTAGTGGTGTCCAACCATCATTGTTTTGAGTCGTGAGGTCAGCACCCTTCTCCAGCAGCATCTTGACAACTTCTGCATGTCCTTTACTTGATGCCATATTCAGTGGTGTCCAACCATCATTGTTTTGAGTCGTGAGGTCAGCACCCTTCTCCAGTAGCATCTTGACAACTTCTGCATGTCCATTATCTGATGCCACATGCATTGGTGTCCAGCCATTGCTGTTGTGGGTCATGAAGTCAGCACCCTTCTCCAGCAGCATCTTGACAACTTCTGCATGTCCTTTGCTTGATGCCACATTCAGTGGTGTCCAACCATCATTGTTTTGAGTCGTGAAGTCAGCACCCTTCTCCAGCAGCATCTTGACAACTGCTGCATGTCCATTATTTGATGCCACATTCAGTGGTGTCCAACCATCATTGTTTTGAGTCGTGAAGTCAGCACCCTTCTCCAGCAGCATCTTGACAACTTCTGCATGCCCACTATCGGATGCCGCATTCAGCGGTGTCCAACCATGATTGTTTTGAGTCGTGAGGTCAGCGCCTTTTTCTAGAAGCATCTTGACAATTTGTACATGTCCGCTATCCGATGCCGTATTCAGTGGTGTCCAACCATGATTGTTTTGAGTCGTGAAGTCAGCACCCGTCTCCAGCAGCATCTTGACAACTTCTGCATGTCCATTATTTGATGCCGCATTCAGTGGTGTCCAACCATGATTGTTTTGCGTCGTGAAGTCAGCACCCTTCTCCAGCAGCATCTTGACAACTTCTGCATGTCCATTATCTGATGCCACAAGCAATAGTGTCCAACCATCGTTGTCTTGAGTGGTTAAATCGCCCTCTCTGTGAAGAAATAGTTCAACAACCCCGATATACCCATTACAGGATGCAATATAGAGCGGGGTGCGACCGTTCTCGTCGCCGATTGTCTCATCCGCGCCAGCATTCAACAGCAGCTCAACCACCCTGGTATGTCCGTTACTTGACGCTGCAAACAGTGGTGTCTGTTTCTTATATGCGGTACAAAAGTCAGCGCCCTCTGAGAGAAGTAGAGCAACAAGATCGTTGAACCCCTTCGCACAAGCGATGCCAAGTGGTGTTCTTCCCAGGCTACTGGGCTCGTTCACATTCTGTTCAAAAATAAGTGCTTTTGCTAAACCTTCCAACTTCATCTTCACCGCATAATACAGTGGGCTTGGAGGTAACGTTTCAGCCTCTGCGTTTGTTCGGTTTTTGTTCTCTATGAATGCACGCCAAGTATTCCAAACAGGATTTTCCTTGTTGAAGAATTGCACCAAAAGGCTCATCAGTTCTTTGTTATCATTCAATCCGGAGTTGATGTGTTGATGCAGGGTTGTTGCTGCATAGTCTCGCAACGAGACGCCAATGGAAAGAGAGTCATCCGGAGTCTTTTTCCAAATCTGCGGTAAGCGAAGGTATTGCACACAAGCCTTAGCAAGCAGCGTATTCTGGATCTTCTCTTGGGAAATTTGCAGCATATTCTCTTGGTATATCCAACTTGGGGATGGGAGTTTCCAGAGAAGATACTGATGGACAGAGAAATGTGACAGCTGCACCGTTCGGCGACCTGGAGTAGACTCGGTGTTTCTATTCGTAACCTCCAAAAGAGGGCTGCAGAGGCCTATTATTTCGCTTTTGATATACTCGTCGTCTACAGCGTCAGGGAAATCGTCCGGCATTAAGTCTCCAGACGTGAGAATTAAGACAGCATCGGTAATCTCGAAGACGGTCAGCGGTCGAAAGGAAAAAGCCGCCCAACGTAGGAGGGCAAAAGCTCGGTGCCTTGCCTCTTCTCCCAAATTGGCGATTCTTGTCCAATTGTGGTCATATAGGCTGTTAAGACCAGTTGGTGTTTTTTCGATAGCCTGTCGAAGTTGTTTCTTATTCATCCCACCCCTGAGACATTCCTCCTGCATCTTAAGCCAGAGGAATTGACCTTGGCAGCGATCAGACATCGCTTCAGAAAGGGTTGAGCGGACATCGTCACTCTTGTTGGAAAGCTTTCTATTGACGATGGCATGGGCATAGGCATTGGTATCTGGTAGGACATCTTCGGGCATTATCCTATACTCATCAAAGGTTACGTGTGCATCATTCATAAGCACGTCCCGGATACCGGGCTCGTCACGACTAACAAAGAGGACTCGTGTTCCGGTCCCAGCAACGGCGTCTATGACATTGCGAAGAAACCTTGCGATTGGCCAGCCATTGTTGTTTGTATGGGTACATTCGTCGAGGCCGTCTGCAATTAACGTACATCCAGGAATGTCGTGTACGACCTGCTTAAAGAGGTTCATGACGGTCACGCGATTTGCCAAAAGATCCGCATCAGAGAGCCAACTCTGCCAGGCGTGTTCGAATGCATCATCATTCTGCGATATGATCTGAGATACCCATGATCGCAGGGCTAAGAAAGGGTCTTCGCGGCTTGCATGATCTGAGGAAAAGAAGAAATGGGCAACAGGCGCGCCTAAAGTAGAAGCAAGATGGTCGGCAAGATGGGCACAGAGGATCGTCTTTCCAAACCCCGCGTGCCCATTGACCCATAGGAGTTTTGGGCTTACGGACTCGACGAGCCAGCGAATAAACACAGTGCGATCGAGAATCCACTTGCAGGTACCCGGGAGTCTCTTGTGAAGAGAGTCGTGGTAGCGCTCGTCAGGCGGGCAACTACTGAGCCAGGCGTGAACTTGACGTCGTGTTTCGGCTACATGATATTAACGCGCGAAGGTAGACTGAAAGACCCTCTGCCGGGGCGTGGGACCATCCTACCTCTGGCATTCTCTTCAAGTCGTTTCAAGATGCGACGCATCTCATCAGACCATCCGTGGATTAGATTGGCCCCTAGCTCTAGTTAGATGCCGCCTGCCTCGTGGAGCGATGTAGACCGTACCTTTAGTGAGTGTATTGGTGCTAGGAACGTCTCGCTTCGGTACTGACCATGGATCGTTCCCCGTACTGGGGGGGACCAGATTGTGAAGTTGCTGGACCAGGGTTTCGAATATCTCGACCTGCTCTGAACGCTTTCCCTTCCCCCACAACGCCCATGCCACTTTCTTTTTTCTCGACTCGTGCGTGACATTACGAAGCGTGTGTCGGCCCCCTTCCAATGAGCCATCGCTGTCAAAGCCCACGCCCCGAGCACGGTGGGAGGCTACATTACCGGGATTGCAAATCGCCTCGACAATGACATGTAACAACTTGGCTACCGCATCTGAAGAGACTTTGTCGTCCAAAGCTGGGTGATGGGGGTGCATCAGTTGGCCCCGCTCGATGCCCACGCCTGGACCCCATCGCTCGAAGCGGGCTTTGGTGGCATTGAATCGCGTATCTAGGATGTGAGAGTCATTTCCGAAGGTCCGGTAAGATTGCAGTTTATCGAGGGCCTCTAGGCAAGAGTTGAAAAGTCCGGCGAGCCCGACAACTCCGATGACTAGGCCGGCGGTCTCCATGACGAGGTACAGTAATTGTGTCAGCTTTCGACCAGGATGAGGGGAAGCCGCCTCGTATTTATGACACTCAGCCAGTCGTGCACAGGGCTCTCCACTAGGCATACAGAGCCTTTAAGCAACGTTACGCAGGTTGTCGTTTGTAAAATCACCGACCAAAAAAAGCACCTCTCTCCATTCTACAGGTTAATTGTCGCCCGCCCACTACCTGACAGCGGCTTCGTCCTTGAGCAACTCCAGCGCCAGGCGAAAGTCGATCGGGGCAGGTACGAGTACCCTAGAACAACAGACAGCAAGTCATTCGGCAGAGCCTGTTGTCATGAATTCCCTCGCACCTCCGCTCAAGCCCACAAACTACCAAGCTAGTCCGCTTCATGTGATACCGTCACATCAAGTTGGATCTTGCGATTCAGCCTTAAGGAGGCTATGTAGTGAGCCTATTGTCATCTAATGTCGGGCACAGCCAGGGACCACTGCAGCAACGCGCACTTTCACTTAAACAACGACAGCGGGCAAGGCACTGGAATTGAATGGGCAAACCAGGAGCAGAGTACGGCAGGCTTGATCGGGTAGCAGTGAGAGGGTAAGGATGATGCAGAGACGATAATCACATGGCCATTAGCGGATGACGGTTGGAATGTACCTCATCATTTAGCAAACGTATCGAGCTTTGGCGCTAACACTGGAGGCAGCAACGGTTCTCCACTCAGTACTTAATATACTTGGAGAAATTTATTTGCTGGCCATTGATGGACATTTCTCATACTGGAAAATAGCGGAGAATGTACATCAAGGTATTTTTAAGTACTCTGTCTTCATAATAATAAACATAAAGACAACGAAGCGGAAGCTATTATGCTCCAAACTGGACGTAGGTACACTAAGGTACGGTAGGTATCACCTAGCACTGAAATTTGCACTTGGCGGTTGCGCTAGTAATGCGAACGCAAGAGTTCCGCAAATGCAAGTGAACCCCAGCACTTTGTTGGCTGCAGGCAACAACGGCTGATGAGTTATCTTAGGTAGGTACCTACGTCATCTTGATGCTTACGTAGCTCAGAGTCGTGCTATGAGTGTAGTACGCGTATTTGGTACTGTACGTATTACGGATTACTCACTAATTCCTTTCTGTTGCTGCATCAACTGGGATACGTACCAATTTTTTGGCTATCACAGTCATGTGACCTAGAACATCCACCTCGTAGGAATCAGGCAGAAACGGAAAATGCCCAATCACCAGTTCCTTGACCAATTTGACTACATCTTCTTTCCCTATTAGATGCACCTTTTCTGAGCTGAGATCTTACTGCATCCTCACGTGGTCCACTCGAGCATTCCCCGATCAAAGAAAACTAAGTTAACTACTTGAATACACCAGTAATCATAAAGTGGCTTCAGGATCGGCACGAGACGATGATATCACAGGGCACATCAATCTCGATGAGGATGATAATACAAACAACGAAACTGAAAACCCTGCACCAGGACCAGATCCCAGTAGCACCAGCTACCACGATGAGGCCGCCACCCGCGAAAGCGGCACTGGACCAGCCGAGAATGACGAGACAGGCGGCAGCGATGGACATGACAACAGCAACAACGACGACGACGGCAATGAAGTCCCCTCCTCAGCCTCTACCCCAACCTTCGACCGCCCCTTCACCTTCTCCCCGCACCTCATCCGCCCACGCACGCCCCCTCCTCAAATCTACCATGTAACCCGAGAGGTGCACCGCGGTCGTGATTTTCACATCCCCGAGCCAGCAGCTGAACGCGCTAAGCAGCAGCATCAGCGAGAGCGTTTTGTCCACAGAACCCGCCAGGTCCACCACCAACGCCAACACCACCACCAACACAAGCACCAGCTCGTCACAACCCGCCTCCTCACAGCCCAAGAACGCGCCTTCTGGTACAACCGCTCCTATTTCCACCTCACCACCCTCCTCCCCATGACGTACACCCGCTCATCATCATCATCATTCTGGCGGGTGGCTGCCCGCCTGGCCCGGCTGACGGCGTACGTGCTGTACGACGATTTTCGAGTATGGCGGCGGCTGTACGGCACGGCGGGCGCCGTG